CGAATGTTGAGTTTTGTAACTAAATTTTGTCTGTTATTCAATAAACAATCACTATTTTAGACGAAACGGTGTTTGTGAACTTCGGTTATACGCGTATATCAATTGAGTAACTTGGACGCTTACATGTGCTTAAATTTAATTTCATCTTCCACCGTTAGTTAAAATTGACATTGGGTGGGAATAGTGTGCGTCGCTATATTCTTACTGTATGGATCAATGAAATATAACCGTTTGATATTTCTATCTCAATGAGAAAATTTATGAACAGGAACTTGTGTTACGATATGATTAGGTATTCAACGTATCAATCTAGTCGTTATGTAACACATATCAAAATGCATTTTGTTAACAACAATATATAAACATATAGATTTTCATGTTCCATAGAAAATACATGACTACATCTACAGAAGACCGCATCACTTATTGAAAATTCAGTGAATATGAAAATTTGTAAGATGTGGAATGTATAGAATAATAAGGTATTGGAAAAGAAACCGTGTTTTGATAAAAACAATTTGAAATTGTCTAAATATGTTCAACTGCATTTTTATGACTCGTAGGGTTTTTCATTTAAAATATATGTTCACTGTTTGTGTTAAGAAGTCTATCTTCGAAGACATCAGACAACTTTTTTCAATTCGTTTTGTTTTCTTGTGTCTACTAGAATTTTTACTGAGATTAAAAATAGTAACAAACATGACTTTTTAGATTCCATCTAATTCAATTCTTCAATACAAAAGTATAATCAACTCTTTATTCAGACTGACGAACAATAATATATAAATCATTAAATAGGAATAATATATTTGCAAAATCTCAACGAATGAATTTGTAGTAAATCCAACGTTTCGCCTGGCAATCTGGTCCAAGCTTTTTCAAGGAAATATAATCAAACATCAAAATTATCGAATATAAATAGGTACATGGTTCTCCGAATTCATTATACACTGAATAGGTCATCCAATCAACGTTAACAAAAAGTCTAAACTAGGTATGTTTAAGAGATATGTGATGTGAAGTGATGAGTGTTCATATAACATATTGTGTGTGATGTGAAGAGTGTTCATAAAACATATTGTATAGAAAACGTAAAAGGTGAGGAGAAAATTACATTCACATTATATATTGTCTCTTATCAGTGAATTTATAAGGAAACATACAATTTGTAATATATATGATATGAATCACATCTGTCACAGTATGTATAACATGAAGATAATTAAACAATATAAAAATAAAAATATAAAGGTGAAATTTGAAGATCGTAATTTTGACTGCATGTATGTGTCATTTTTAATGTTCCAATGAATTGTTTAACAATTTCCGATAAGACAACAGATTAGAATCATTAAGTGTAATTGTTGTCATTTTAGATAATACGAATTAGATAAAAACATTAAGGAGTTCAGGTTGTTACTTATTAATGATTAGCTGCCATGGCACTGCTAATTGTATTCCATCCCTCCTATTAATATTGTTTGGATTAGCCCAAATGTATAGGGCTTCAGCTGTTTGTCTCTCCTTGTAAGAATTAAAAGCTTTTTGAAGGATTCTTGTGCCACCGAAATTAATTGTATGACCTGATTCTACATATCTTAACCATACTTTTGATGCCTTAGAACATAATGAGATGGCACTAGTTTCCAATGAATGCATAAAGAGGTCAGCAACAATTGGGGAAACTGGTGATCCCATAGCTACACCTTCTGTCTGTCTGTATAAATCCACTCGAAAACTGAATATATGTTCTCAGGCACCGAAAGTATGGTTCAGATATGTAGATGACACCTTTGTCATCATAAAACGGAACCATCTGGATGAAGTGTAAAGGAAAGGTAATTTGTTTTCAGGAGATTCCAACTCTTTGGTGAACTTGATTTTTCTATCAAAGTTGTTGATAAGTTTAAACACTTCATCCAGATGGTTCCGTTTTATAAGTTAAGTTTGTTTTACGTTCTATGTCCTTATTCACTTCACTCCGACATTTCTGTATTGTTTTATATTACTTATTATCATTATTCAGCAAATAGTTTTATTCCTAGCAATTTCTACTATTATGTGGTAACTCACGTTGGTCATATAATATTCTGAAATGTTTACACATACTTATAACATTCATTTTATTTATCATTATAATGACTTGACATCAATTATTGTAGTAGTTATTCGAAATCTTGTGCAGTCGTTCAACCTTTGTTCAAAGTCAACAGTTTCCATATTGCTTGCTCTTAGTTCGATTTTTGCTTGTTAATTAACCGTTATCGAGTTTAGACACAACTGACTGTCTTCATATTAGGAACTAAAAGACGTTGTTAACAATACACACACCTCGAATGTTGAGTTTTGTAACTAAATTTTGTCTGTTATTCAATAAACAATCACTATTTTAGACGAAACGGTGTTTGTGAACTTCGGTTAACGCGTATCTCAATTGACTGACTTGGACGTTTCCATATGCTTATCAGTTATTTTCATCTTCCACCGTGGCTTAAAACTGACAATAGGTGGTTATTGTGTGCATCGCTATATTCTTGCTGTTTAGATCCATCAAGTGCTTTTGAAATGAAATATAACCACGTTTTATATTTTTATCTCAATGAGAAAATTTATGAACTGGAACTTGTGTTAAGATTTAATTTGGTAATTAAAGTATTAATCTAGTCGTTATGTAACACATATCAAAATGCAATTTTCCCAACAACATTAAATGTAGATTTTCATATTCTATAGAAAATTCATGACTACATCTACAGAAGACCACATTTTATATTGAGAATTCAATGAATATGAAAATGAGTATGTTGTCGAATGTATAGAATAATAAGGTATTGGAAAAGTAAACGAGTTCTGATTGAAACAATTTGAAATCGTCTAAATATGTTCAACTGCGCTTTTTTGAATCGTAGGGTTTTTCATTTGAAATGTGAATTCAGTGTTTTTGTTAAGAACTCAATCATAATGGGTAAGAGACAAATTTTTCAATTCCTTTCATTTACTTGTGTCTACTAGAATGATCACCGAGATCATTTGATGAAAAATAATAAGAAACATGACTTTCTAGCTTCTATCTAATTCAAATGAAATCTACCCCAATACAAAAGTATAATCAACGCTTTTTCTTCTGACTAACAATAATATGAAAAACATTTCATAGTGATCATAACTTAGTTATGTAGTTGAGCTATTTCAGAAATGAACACAACAAAGTGAAAAGTATAAACAGATAATGTAAACATGATTCTTGTGAGATCTGTATGTTACTCATGATCACTTAAACAATAAACCCATGCTCATTTAATTTTAAATTATGGATTGAGTCAGGTAGAATGAAATGTTGATCTGTTAACATTTAAATGTCTTTACCTTCTACTTAATCAGTTCAATTACACTGACATCATTACAAAAACAATGTAAATCAGTAAGAAACATTGTCATAATTTAACTATTTTAATAATTGGAAATTATGTATAAACCATTTTAGTTTAAATCACAAACATGTTGGATGTTTATATTCTCAACACACCACTAATGAATTCAATCTAAATGTGATCACTATAAAAAAATGCCTCGTTTGCATTTCAGCAAAACATCTAAATAAATATCTTTTATTGTTGACACAGAAAGATTAGTGGTATAGGTTTTCTTTAGCCTAAAGCATGAATTTGTATCCTAATTCTCAACTAAATTATACTGGATAGTGGATTTTAGTTTAATTGTCCTAGCATGAAATAATATTCCTGAGACGTTTTATATGCTCAGAAGGCGTATCATATCCAGCACTAGGATTCATTTGGCGATCATTAAATCAATTAATTCTTTATATTGAACGGTGATTGCCATCAATGGTTTCTTGTGACATATATTTCTATTTCTCGTTTGTTATTTTTTGACCATAAGGTACAGAACATATTCGTAACATATAGTTCTTATAGCTCTGCAAAAACGAAGTAAAATCCTTAATGACTATAAAACTCCTATACTTAGCACTCAAACACCAAGTAAACGGAAAAATAACAAAATGGGGGCAAACTCTATAAATGATAGAAACCTTACTGATAGATTCAGCCTTCGCGAACTCATTGAAGAAAAATACACAAACGTTTAGTGGTGTTCAAAATCATAAAATAATTATGGTAAGAGTATATTCACCATCATATTTCTTCTTCTGATAAAGTTTTTCCCAACTTCATACCACTTTGTAGTAACGCTCGTGTTGATATACTAAAGCTTTATCATATTTGTTGTTGTGGATGGTTTATAAAGTTATCAGACAGTGAAATGTCTTACGCTATGCTTTATTTTGTCATGATAATACAATACACCTACATTCTGCTTGCTTCTGATTGAAATTCTCGATTGAGTTATGTCGAAGTTCTAGCTTATTTAGGACTTTTACAAATACACAGTCTATCTAGTCCTTACATATTCTCGACTAACGATTTATTCTCCACATAAATGTATTTTATTCAGCGCATTACTTATACTCAATGGAATTTCATCAATAAAAAGTCGACATTAACCATTCGTTAACATGAGTTATCAAAAGTCATGTCAGTGGGAGATTTGATTCACATATAACAAAGCGATTTGATGAGAGACAATAATGTAAGCTTTCTGTATGTGACTATTTGTTTACTGAAATCCGATTTATACTACATAATCTAGGTATATTGATAGTCTCGATCCGTGGTTATAGAGCTATTTTATGAGTAAGTTTCTGATTGTAAAAGTAAGGTGATTTAAACCAAGCATACAGGCATTACGTTTGACAGTGAGAAAGTTTTATATACTAAAATATCCAATCCATCAGTTTTGTCGTAATTAATTATGAGCGATGTGTTATTTTCATTCTTCACTATTTGCTTCACAGTCCTTTATTCCTGTGATAGATTTTAGGTGACCTCTATGTGCATTCTCTTCTCAATGCATCTAATTTTATTTGCCATGCAATATATACTTGTTTTCACGTATTCTCCCAATGTACAACTAGGCATAGTCGCAAAATGAAAGTAAGTTTCAAACATTCCATCAAGTTGACTTTCTTTAGTTTATCCAAAATAAGTTAAAAGATGCAAAAATAACAACGAATTAACAATCAACAAAATGGATACAGATTTCGAATAAACTAGTAAACAAATAAAATTATTACTGTTTGAATGATTATCTTAATTTTGTTTTGGTATGATCGTTATTTCTATAAGTTCAATATTCGTCTTCATCAAAGTACATGGCATATAAACAAATATTAAATTAGTATTATTTTCATACACTTTATAAGATAATTGTTCTGGGATGAAACGAGTCCTCATTCCATGTGGATAATGAATCGACATTGGAGCAAAAATTTCTGCAACTAACAATGCTGAGTTCACATTTGTACAATTCTTCTGTGTTGGTATAAAAGCATAATAAAACACACCTGAATCTACATCGAATTCCAGTTGGACAGGTTGACCGGCAGTTGATTGTGGATATGTACGACTGAACGATTTCAACTGTATGAGAGAGAAGAAATTACGAAGCGAAACAATGTATTGCAATAATGTGAAATGCATATGTAAGGTAATCAATTTGAAGACAGTGTAGATCATAACCTGATAACTTAATAACCAAAGGAAGTAAGGAAGATTTAGAGAGATATACTAGGATGAAATAGTTATTCATATATTTCTTAAAGAACCATGATTAACTAATTTTATCACACTTGACATAAAGGAATAACCAAACACTAATAACTAGCTAATTATATGATAACTGCAAGAAGTAAAATGGCCCTTCTGAAATTAATATCTCTACTGAAATGGAGTAAGCTGTTAATATTTTTCGACCAGATGTTTTTGCTCATAAGCTTACTTTAGAACCCTATCATAAACGAGATTTCAAAAAACGATCAGAGGCAAACTGAATTCTTCGATTCACTTGTTACTTTACTGTTCTTTGGTTAATAGAGTGTTATTATTAATGACTAACTTTCTCGAATTGTTTTCAAGAGATGGGTTATCGTAACCTGATGATAGAAACACATTCACTAAGCACAGCTGATGATCGTGTTATGCTGGCGGTGAACGAAAGTCTGATAATTCCTAATACTAGAGTTTTCCGAAGTTATCTCAAGTCAAACAAACGTGGAAGGCAAATAATATATAATTGTAAATATGAGCAATAATATGTATTAAACAGTTAAAAGAAGGTAGTTCAGAAGAGAAAATCAGTGATCGAACGCTCACACGATCTCGTTTCGTGAATATTAGTGAACTAAGAAATAAATGTGATATTATTTCTGGAGTGAAACCAAAGACCAGACGAAATGGGTACAAATGGTACAACTCAAAAACTTTCATCCCAATAACTAATACTCCTCAATCATGCTTTATTGTCGTACATTTTATAAGGTTGATTGTCCTACTAAGTCGACTTCCTCAACAGTTTACGAAAGCTTTTGGTATCACCAACTCACGAAATCTCTTAACTTATCCGTATACATCATCTTAGAAATTTGTTTGTTATAAAGTAGATTATTGACCATGTGGTTGTGGACAGTTGAAATTAATCGATCACAGATATGTGTGTTTAGGCAAAAGACATTTATTTTAGTAATTCATAAGTGCCTATTACTAGTTATCACAATTTGCATATCAAATCATAGTGTTTACATTTTCGTTCCTAGATTACTCTACAGTACTTTTATTAAGTTCAGTTACGGTGTTGCGTTCATCCTAATCAGTTCATCATTTATTAAGGACACAATAAACATTTATCCATATAAGTTGTAACTATCATTTGTATTTTCAATGAAATATTCACGGCTTCGTCTAACATTATACATTCTGTATATGCAGACCACAAATGGAAACTCGAACTAAACAAATTTGTCGATCTTGTTTGTGTTATAATTGTATCTTGCTATATAAACGACCCAGCTATTCATATTGCTTAGTATTCTTATACGATGACACTCGACAAGACCCCAAAATCAGAACACGTTGAACAGGAATGAAATTGTATTCAAAATAATAATAGTAAGTGAACAGCAATCACTAGTTTGAATAACGTTCATATATTTATAGCATATACATAAGAAGCTTCTAGATCAGTTTAGAATTAGCCAATCAGCGCGCAGCAACACAATCATTCATGAAACAGGCTTAAATCCAATCTATATCCCACTAACAGTCTGTAACAATCAATGTTTTACAAGTTGGTGTGAATAACAGAATGGATTTGGACATACTTTGTATCTGTCGATGAAATAATCAGATTAGAATTCCACTTGAATTCATAAACTATGGATTTTGTCAACAAACAACATATGTACATTTGTATGCAAAATCCTATGGTGTTTGTGAACAGGTTTCAATGGGTAAATGAGATTAATGAAACCTACAAAACAAATGTTCTTACTTTGAAATCTAACATAAAATACATATTAATCCAATACTTCTATTTCCACTTCCACTGTTAGTTTGACTATTTGACTATATCTTAAGAATACTAAGATGACAGAATTCATAGTTATCATGGCTTTATAGAATTATTCGTCAGTGTTGTTTATTCATCTACGCCCAATTTCAGACACACCCATTGCTATAACGTTTGCCAGTTACGATGATTCATAGAACATAAATGTTACTAATTTATAGAAGGAATGTAGAAATTTCTCATCTTATTTGACTTGTTTTAATCAATTACAAAATACACTATGGTTCTAACAATTTTCCAAAGTTATTCATCATGTTGTTTACTGAGAGTATTTCCATGGTGAAAAAATAAATAATTAGCTTAATGGTAATTGATAAACATGAGCAAGTCAATGGGTGTTTTTCAATCAATTCCAAGTAAATAAATTCTGAAGTATATAAATGTTTTGATGTTGCTTTCATTATTGGTATTGTTTTATTAATAATATTATCATTTCTATCTTTTGTAGTGAATCTTTTCTTTGTGAACGGCTTGGTTTCCATTGAGGATCAGCAACAATGAATGTATGGCCTAAACCTAGAAATCAATGATCGAATATTTCGTCCTACAGCGGAACACCTCATTCACAATTATGACAGTTCTTGGAGCACAAACATGCAAACCTGAAGGTGAGAGATAAAAATGTAAATCTCTGAGATAAAAAACAACTCACCAAATATTATCGTTCAGTTAATTCACAATGGCGCTTGATGATCATGCAATGTCATAGATGATAAATATCTCACCGTTTATCTATCTGAACCCCAGTGGTAACGACTTCTCATTCGGATCTAACAATGTTTCTTGGTGTGCTACGTGGTTTCACAAACAAAAATGAGAAAAAGTACTTGTTTGAGTCCACTCTATTTTCTTAGACAACGTTTACATATCTAATCTGCGTACTGAAAGTAATCAACTATAAAAATGAGACATCTGAGATAATAACTCCATACATCTGCATAGATGAGAGATAATTTGGATTCGAAATTTCTGTCAAGGACCAACAAACCAAAACCAACAGACAACTCTTTTCATAAATCATCCAGTATCTCAATAGCAATAATAAGCTTGTCAGAGATAAACAGTGTGAAACATTTCAGAATTACGGCTAAACAGGTGTTCATGGTCTACGGGATTCGAGTGGTCGATCAATCAATTTTAATATCATGATAGAAGGCAATCAAGTAAGCGAACTGTTCTTTAAGATGTCAGCTCAAAATAGTTCTCGTATTATTTATTCATTCATCAATCGTGTTCTGATAAACGGAAAATGGAATAGAACGTTTAACAAAGCAGTTGATACATGAATTAAACATTTAGCAGACTAAAATTTTAGTTGAATGTCAAATAACGGTTATTCATAAGTTTTTTTCAAAATTTACATTCAAGAGCATAAAGACTCTATCATTTGTACTCATTCATCAGAATATCAAACGAATATCTGACAGATCGGATTAACTTTAACGTCAAACGTTGTTTACTACCATTTATTCCAGTAGCTAACTGAGAACTCAGTTCACCGCTCTAATCAGCTTTATTTTGGCTGTAAGGCTGAGAAAACTTCAAGAAATACTAGTTTGTAATGTTATGAGATAACAATCAAATTGCTAAGTAAACTTCGATCGTACAATTTTATTTGCCAGGATTTTCGTGCCACTGAAGTCATGAAATGATGCCGAAATCCATAGGTTTAAATGAATAACGAATGTTTACTTGATTTTCCTGTCATTATATTTCAGTTGGTCATTTCATTTAGTCATCCCCAGTGGATTCTCCATTCAATGAGAGTAATATGTTTTAAATGTCATATTAATTATAATTTGGAGATATGAGGATCCAACATTGTTTGGTGGGGGAGGATGAAGTCGGCAAATGCAGTCTGCATACCTACCCCAAATCTTCAAAAAAAAGGGGGAGGTGTTGAGTCGGCTTCCGGAGAACTCTAACAGAGCCTCCAGAGGTTCATAAAGAGCCCCAAACAATCAGCGATTAATTAGAAGTTGTGTGAAGTTATGTTACTAAAACAACGAGATCCTAATTGGTTGATTAACACACTGCTACTATGTTTAGCAGTATTCTAGAACTTTCGGTAAAACAAAAGGTCTCTTAATTTACTATTAAATCCCTGTATTTTCTGTACATAAAGGAACCCTGTAGTAAAGTGCTTCCAAAACACTTTATGCCTTTTCCTTGATCTTCAAGCCGGTGTATAGTTCTAGCACGGGGGTAAGGAACTACTCTAGGGAAACGAATATAGCGTTCACGCGTTAGCCAGACGTTCTTGCAAATTTGATTGAGAACGATCAAATGAGAAGTGTACTACAGAGAATGTTATCATTCACGGAAAACGAAATGGTATTTTCGGACTGATCAAATGACGAGTATATAACACCACTAAGCTTATTAATCGAAGTTTAATAAAATTGTGATACTTTGACTTAATTCTTACCACATGGCTTCGTAAATACTATGCAACTTGAAGATTCTCCATCCTTATTACATCAATATATTTTGTTCAGTAGAAATATATTTACTATAGATTCCATAATTGAGTTACTCAACGAACTGAACTCATACAAACTCACCCGATCCAGATGCTTCAATAAACCCAACACACACTATCCACCATTATTCGAACATTCACAATTATGCAATCAACCTAGAGTTTACAGAACAATTGAATTTGAAATAAATATTAAGGAAATTTTATTATCAAAGTGTTTTTTCAGTATACTAAGTAGTCGATTCACTCAAATCTTCAACTGAGTAAGCAGATAAGATGATGTTTGGAGGTGATCAACAGGAAACTCTGAACCCGATTCTCCTGCTACTTTTCACTAATCAGCAAGCTGTACCTGTATTCTTAAGGGAACTGATGCTATTTGACGGATTCGATCTCAGAACACACAGCTTCAATAGGTATTATGCTCATTGGTGATGGTTCGAGAGAGAATGTGATGCGAGATAACAGTCTACTAGTTGTTTGTTATTTTATTTGTTGGCATTTCGTCATCTTCATTAGAGTCAACTGAACGCTAATCTTTTACAATTACACTGTACTCGAGACCATAATGTATAAGACAACAAAGGAGAATGGTTGAAGTGATCAGGAAGGTAATGTTTTCCAACAAAAAGATATTATTCTTGATCTACCATATTTGTTTGAGCTAATCACAACATGCACTATATTTGCCCACTCAAATCTTTTTACA